ACATTTATGAAACAGAGAGAGCTGGAATTCAAATTCATTTTAGGAACATGGTATGTTTCTTTAATGATCAATCCATATCAGTCACCACATTCAAATTAATTTAGATCCTACAAGATGTTAATTCCAAACTGCTACAGACACACCCATGCACATTCTCACACTTACGTTTACCTCACACATAACAAGAGTCTGTCTCATCTCATCACAATGTGTGGTGTGTGCTCACATAGAATTTACACTACAGACAGGAAGTACACAGCTTTCCAGGAGGCCCCGGTGAGGTGTGGTCCTTGGGCTGAATGTAGTCCATAAATATATCCTGCTTGTTCTGTACAATGTTTAAAAGTTTAGGAATTTTCATTTGAAAAAATCCAAATTTTTCTTCAGAAAACTGGCCCTTCACTTTATAAAACAGCAGGGGGCTGGAGCTGAGTAGTGACGGCCCCTATAGATAAGGGGCGAACTTCCACCTTGCCCTCGCTCTCAACACTCCCTGGTAACAATCTTTAGCACTGCCTGCTTCACTTATGTTCGCGATCTATTTGGCCCTGGCACGCATTTGAGGTTGTAGCCTGTTTTCTAGGTAGACTCGTTTTATTTATTTTTAAAAATTTTATAACTGTCATTTCTTTTCTTTAAAATGTTTTCATTGATTTCAGAGAGAAGGGAGAGAGAGAGAGAGAGAGAGAGAGAGAGAGAGAGAGAGAGATTGATTGGATGCCTCCTGCATGCCCCCTACTGGGAACTGAGCCCACAACCCAGACATGTGCCCTGACTGGGAATCGAACCGGTGACCTCCTGGTGCAAGGAATGATGTTCAGCCAACAGAACCCTTCCAGCTAGGCTAGGTAGACTGACTTTATACTTCCCCAAATGCTATTAGTTGAACTGTGTTTTTCCAAAATTCATATGTTAAAGTCATCATCGCCAGTACCTCAGAATGTGACCTTATTTGGAGAGAGGATCTTTATAGAAGTAATCAAGCTAAATCAAGGTCATTATGATGGGCCCTGATCTGATATGACCAGTGTCCTTATAAGAAGGAGAAAATTACTGCAGAGGCACACAGAGGGAGAAGTGAAGATGAAGGCAGAGATCAGGGTGACTCGTCTACAAGCCAAGGGACACTGCAGATGGCCTGCAAACCACCAGAATCAGGAGAGAGACCTGGGCCAGATTCTCCCTCACAGCCTCAGAAGGAACCAACCCTGCCACCACCTTGATCTTGAACTTCCAGCCTCCAGAACTGTGAGATAATAAATGTTTGTTTTGCAAGCCACTCAGTCGGTGGTCCTTTGTTATGGATGCCCTAGAAAATGAATGCTCCAAGTAGCTCAAAATAAGTATCTTCAATCACTGACTATGTCTCATCTAGAAAACAGACATCACAGGGAGAAATATTCTCTCCAAAACCTAGCAGCCAGGCTTCCAAGATCTTCCCCATAGAGATGTTTCCAATGATAAGTGGGGACGTATGTCTTCTCCAGCCTCAGGTAGGTACTGAGAAACTTCTGATCAAATATGACTGCCAAAGATTATACCAGTTCACCCCTGGGTGGGTGGGTGATATTTTAATGGTATGAAATATTTTAGGGGACAAGTATGTCAGGGAGGCAGAATGTTTGAGCCCCCATTTACTCCTGGGCTTAATTTAGATTACATACTCCTACACATACAGTTCAAGACACCTTATGTTTTATTTTTCTTCCTGGGCTTTTTCTCCCTCTGTCTGATCTAAACTTTACAGAGGGCATTGGAGGGGCTGAGGGAGAGGAGCTCAGCTGGAGAGGACTGGGCCAGCTGCACCCGAACAGGACTGGCTGTTCCCCAAGAGGAGGCCTAGGAGCACTGGCTGTTGAGTAACCATGAACAGGTCATGTTTCAGAGTCTTGGTTCCTTTCTTTTAAAATAGGTAGTCCTGCCCTGGCTGGGTAGCTTAGCTGCTTAGGGCATCATCTTGATACATCGAGGTTGCAGTTTCAATCCCTGGGCAGGGCACTTACAAGAATCAACCAATGAATGCATAAATAAACAACAAATCAATCCCAATTTCTCCCCGCCCCCTTCCTTTCTCTCTAAAATCAATCAATAAAAAAATGTAAAATAACTAGTCCTGGTGACTTACAGAATGATTCACTTTCTGTGATGTTTCAGAAACAAAAGCATTACTTCTCTATGCATTACAGTTCCTTTAGTGCCTAAAAACCCTATTCCCATGGCCTGAGCCCCATCCTCTGGGGGATTTCACTTCTTCAACCAATCAATGTCCCAAGCTAGAAAGCGGAGAAGGCCAGATGTGTTGCTCTGTCACCCTATGAACTTTGAGAAGCATGGTTCTTATTTTTTAAATGATATATTTGGGGGAGGGGTGCAAATTGGATTTCAAATAACTGAAATGGAGTTGATGTGGATTATATGTGATTCTGGGTCAGGGTGGGGGGGATAAAAGGCTTAGTAAGTGAGGGAACCATTGGTAGATCTGATGGTTAAGATCACAGTTGGGCTGACGACTTACTAGGGTTCAGGCTGAGGGACCCTGAGAACACACCTGGAGAGAAAATAGCATGCTCCTGCATTTGGAAGTTCTCTGGGCGGGGGAGGAATTGTTCTGAGATCTCCACATTTCCCCTGACTAGAGCTCACTGGAGATACAAAGACCTGAGAAGGGACCCTCAGGCCTGTGGACTCCCAGCTTTTGGAGGACTCCATCAATAAAAGTCTAAGCATGTGCCCCTACATATGCCATTTCTTTATTTAGAAGTTATATACGAGTTATATACAAGTACACTCTGATACAGGGAGAATCAACTTAAAAAGAACAATATCAAATAAACAGAAGTTCTATTTTCATCCCCCATACACCCAAGTGGACAGCCTTGTGTGTCCCTTGGTTCTCTGCACCTGTCCTGAGTCTGTACAGCAGCCCCCTTATCTGCGGGGATGTTTCAAGACCCCTAGTGGATGCCTGAAACTGTGGGTGGTACTGAAACTTATATACACTATGTTTTCCCTTCTATGTACATACCTATGATAAAGTTGAATTTATATATTAGGAATAGTAAGAGATTAACAACAGTAATAAAATGAAACAATTATAATAATTGCAATAAAGTGCCAGCCAGATGTGCTGGCATTTCACATCTGCAGAAAAGTCTTCCATGTCCCAACACCTGGGGCTCTGCTTGTACTGCGGCAAAGTTGGGGAAATGCGATGTGAGGGTAGGACTATGATAAGGAGGTCCACACTCAGGCGGTGGCACTGAACTCTGAGAGGAAGGGCTGGGATCAAGGATCTGCTCCTTCCCTTTTTCCTGTACTCCCCTCCCCCTACACCCACAAAACAGCCCTGTTATATTAGGTATAAAACTAAACAAGCTGGTCAGGGATCAGCCCAGCACTCTATCCACCCGCCCCACCCGCCCCACCCACCCCACCCGCCCCAGGGAGAAGACCTGGCTGTATGCAGCCTAGGCGGGAAGACTTGGGGAGGCGGGAAGACTTGGGGAGGCGGGAAGACCTGGGGAGGCCCGAATCACTGTCTCTGAGTACCCTACAGCATGCATGCTAAGAGGCATGAGGCTTTGGGTAGCTGCAGATAAAAGAGAAGAAGACCCATGGGTGGGAGTTGCATGGACAATAGAAGGAAGAATGTTTAACAATCAGGCTCTGCAACAATGGGACCATCTCTCCAGAGGGCTGGAAGTAACTACCCCAGAGGCATTAAGGGGGACCGGGATGACGGGCGTGTGGATGTGTACCACATTCTCTGACCAAGCGGGTGGGGAGGTCGGGAAAGACTGCATAACACAAGGACACATCGTCCGCCAGCGCTGACTGTTTTACCCAGCTCTGTAAGAGTAATAGCATCCAGGAGGAAACCAAGTTATTTATGAGAAAGAAGCTGTCCTTCAGTAAACAAAACAAATCAGGTGGGAGGGAAGATCCCAGCGCCCAATGGATGGCAACTCTGCCTCCACAAACTCTTCAGGTACCAGTTTCCCCACTTGTGCTCGTGGAAGTGATGATGAAAGCCACCGGTGGGGTTGTGGGGAGAAGCAAATGAAATGACAGGTAACTGAATGTTTACTGTGGGTTGGGGACTATTGTAAAGGCTTTACCTATATTATTTAATTCTTATAACTGCACATTTCACAAACAGAAACACAGGCGAAGAAAGTAAGTGAGATACTCAAGGCTATACAGCTAGGAAGAGGGAGAGGAGGATGAAGCCCAGGAGATGCCTACACGTTGCACCCAAACACTTAGCACAGTGCCTGGGACAAGGTGGGGCCCAGGCGATGACTGTCATCCCAGAGGCAGGGCCATATGGTAGTCGGGAGGGAGCATTTCTGTGCCACGTCATACAGGTAACTGAAGTTCTCTATGCCTGGCGTTCTTATCTGTAAAGTGGGCACAAAACATCCATTTCATAGGGAACCTCAAAGATTAAGTGATTCAATGCATGTAAAATGTTTAGAAGAATCCTTGGAAAATAAATGCCCCACAAATATAAGCTAAAGCTATATAAACGTGCTCTAGATTACAAATACATACAGTGTTTAGGATATTAATACGATACACTCTATGCCTATGTCTAGGGTAATCACTCAAGAAGGGTCAGTGCAGTGACGAGGCATCATTAACAGCCACTGATGTCTTCTGGTTGCACAATTTAGAAGAAAGTGCATTTATTAGATTTCTTTGTGTGTAACCAAACCACAACTTTCATGTATACAGGTCAGTGGCGATTTTACTACAGGAGGTTCTTGTCCCAGAAACCAGCCTCTCAGCTTCTCCCTGAACCTCTGATGAAGTGAAATCTCCCAGACTTGAATGCATGAAGGGGAGGGGACTCTAGAAGCAACCCTGGAGGAGAGATGGCATATTTCCCGTGGACTCTTTCTGCAGTAGGCTCTCCAAGAGACCCCCAGGACTGATTTGGGGATGGAGACTGACGTCTTCCACCAAAATCTGCAGAGCTGGTGGTCCTGCTATCCTACCTGGTGAGCTTGGTGCCGATCTGCTGCCTCAGCTCCAGTCTCTCTTCATCTGTCTGCCTGGGAAGGATGTTCTTTTCTTCTAGCTCTCGCTTGGAGGGCCTGTTGCTGAGTTTGATGGCTAAGGAGTCCTTCCTGCACACCTTCATGGCCAGGGAGCCTGCAGGAGGGAGAAACAGGTAAATAACGCTGACACACACGTATCCGGGCTCCCACAGGACCAACTGTGGGCCACAAGGTAAAAGGCAGGAAGACTATGGGCCTCACTTAACACCTGAGTGGTTAAGGCCCAAAGGACCCTTCAATGGAGTTCCTGCAAGCAACATGATCTGTATACCCAGCAGTGTGTTGGGCATGCGAAGAGCACAGGGGGAGCCTCGCTGGCTCTTGGCTCTCCAGGGACCTCCGGTGTGCAGGCCACATCAAAAAGGAGGGACAGACTGGAGTGCAACAGGATGCAAAGGGGGTGGGGTGGGGAAGGACGGGGCCTTTAGTAGCCAAGGGAGCTTCACAGAGCAGGAAGGGCTGGTACCTGCAGGACAAATGAGATGCGCCAGGCAGCAGGTTGGTGGACATTGCATGTGGGAAACTCAGAGGTGACAGATAAGCCAGGAGATCACAGGAGACAAAAAGATCAGTGACCATGGAGCCAGGGGTACGTGAAGGAAAATAAAGCTGGGCCGACAAAGTTGGGTCCATTTGAGGTGGGAGTGGAAGTGAATTCATTAAAACAGGCAATCTTCCGGGATTGTTTTTTCTTTTCAATGGAAGGGGTTCTGAGCAGCCAGCCGGGGCAGGGCGTCCTCCCATCTGGAAATAATCTGTGGTTCTCAACCAGGGGTGATCTTGCCCCCCAGGCGACACTTGGCAGAGTCTAGAGACATTTTTGGTTATCGAAAAGGGGGTTTAGGGGGCAGTGCTCCTGGTATCTAGTGGGCAGAGTCTGGGGGTGCTATTAAATGTCCCACAGTACACAGAACAGCCCCCACAACTTGTCTGGTCCAAAATGTCAACCGTGCCGAGGCTGAGAAATGCTGGTATAAAACCACCAGTTCTCTGGGCAGGAAAGGGGCTGGGCAGCTGCTCCTTCCACCCGGCCTTCTCTGGGCCCTTGGCTGCCCCTCAACGTTATCTTGATTATGTCATCGCTCCCCAGGAGTCTCACTGCGCAGGACACTGGGAAGCAGCGGGTTGGGGGATTCCTCTGGATTTTATTTCGTAGGCTAGTCCTTTCTTCCTCACGGGGCTTACAGCATGGGCTTTGGGATGAGACACGGGGGCATCAAACCCCAGAGCAGCCGCTGCGCGGATGAGAGGCTCTGGGCAAGCCGCTTGCCTCTCCCTTTCCTCCCTCGTCTGTCATCGGGCAGCGGGGCCTACGCCACCGCCCGCTGTAGGGGTAGATGACAGCAGTCCGAGCACGTGGCCTGGCCCGGTATACATTCAGGGAAAAGCTGCTGTAACACAAATTCACTTATTAAAAAGTTAACCAAATATCAGCCCCTAAGCACTGAGCTGAGACGTATTGATTATCCATGGCCAGAACGACAGGTTTTGAACTGTGCTTTCTTCATTTCTCCTCTCTTAGCACAGGAGAGGCCTTAACCATGAAACTTCAATCCAGGGCTACCAAAGCCGTTGGGTCTGCTTAAAGCAAATCTGCTGCACACACAACGGTGAGTACACCTGAGTGCTGTGTAGACAAAACCGAATGTTAAGGTCCCCACCCCGTTTACTGAGGGAGGGGCTGCAGCCCCAGGGAAGCGGTTAAAGGAAGGGAGCACCATCTGAGAAGTCGCAGGTGGCAGCATGATGCAATTTTTAGGTCTATAAGGATGTTTAGAGGAGACGGACACTTCATTTTACTAATGGAGACACTGCCGCCCTACGGTTAGCTGAGCTGCCCCGAGACAGGCCCAGCTGACACCAGGCCCGCATCGGAACCAGAGTGCTGCAGCTCCTCGGCGCTTTCTCCACGCCCCGCCCCCACCAGAGTCGGATGCACGCACTGGTGTACAGGGAGCTGTCGTCATCCTCGTCTTCCTCCTCCTCCTCCTCTTCTCTGGAGTATAGGCAGGAAGAGTCTTCGTAGTCTGATTCATGAGGCACATTTTCTTTATTGTCATCACATTCAATCACAACAGTTGGCACTTGTCTTATTTCTGGAAGGCCCAGAGGTCCTGTTTTTGTGACACCGTCACCCGAGTGCAAACCGGAGCTGTGGTAAGAAGTGGAACAGGGGACCCGCTGCTCGGAGCTGTGCAAAAGAAGGAGGAAGGAAGTCAGTCACTCCAGCCTAACATCACATAAACACATCAGAACCTCTGCAAAACTCAGTTGTCCGGTCCTAGGAGACAAAGGGTCTCCAGGGCAATTGAAGTCTCATTTCTTGTCTTACAGCCAAACACCTGAGGACAGCAGACTTTTCTGATGGTGGCAGCAACATGGATCTAATTCCCATGTGAATGTACTTAATGCTACTGAACTATACACTTTAAAATGGTTAAAATAGTCGTTTTTGGTCCTGTATATTTACAGTTAAGAAAATAAAAATACAAAATTGAAAAAATTCATCCCACAAGCGTTTCTGGTTAAGATCAAAGGGAAGTTCCTTTGCCACCCGAATGTCTCACAGGAGTGAAATGCTGAGTGAGGGAGAAGCTAGAGACCCAGGACAGAGACCAGGCACGAGGTTCTAGCCTCCGAAGCCCCCGTGAGTGGCAGGGGCTGAGGTGGGGCAGACGGTTTGAAATTTTGTGCATGGAGATGCAGGGAAAGAGAAGAGGTGGGACCACAAGGCTGGCGACCCGTTCGTGAACGTCAGGGTGGACCTGGTCAGGAACGACTTAGAGAGTTCTCCCCCAGGGATGGCGTCGGACCCTCAGCAGCCACAGGTAATGACAGCCTGTTTTTTTTGTGTGTGCTTTTCAGGTCAATTTTCCAAGAAGCAGTGGTGAGAATAGTCTTGGTTTTCCCTCTTAAATTGAGCCAACTCTGATAAAATAGATTTTTTTATTTTTATTATTTATTTTATCCTCACTTGAGGACATTTTTTGTTCAGATAGAGCGGGAGGGAGAGAGCGGAAGAGAGAGAGAGAGAAACATCAATGTGAAAGAGACACATCTAGTGACTGCCACCCAAGCGACCCAACCAGGGCCGGGACAAACTGCAACCGAGACACGTGCCCTTAGCAGGAACTGAACCGGGTCTCTCTGGACCGCAGGCCAACGCTCTAACTGCTGAGCCACACTGGCCAGGGCTAAAATGTATTTTTTAACTACAAATGATTTGCTTCATAAATAGAAGCCACATAGTTCATTGTAGGAAAATTAGGAAATGTATAACATCAAAAAAAAAAAAAAAAAAGTAGCTATTTTCTTTAATAGACTCTATCTTAGGCTTCTAGAGCAATTTAAAATCCTTTTTATGACAGTCTCTGAATGAAGCTCGGCAAGAAAAATGGGCCAGAAACACACAGTTAAATTTTATAATTCTTTTTCAGATTAATTGGAAGTGGGATTTATATTTTTCACTTAAGGAATTTCTAAACATAGAGAATCCAATGCATTTACTATCCAAAATTGTTTGATAGTCACAAAATAATGGACTGAGGTTATACTATATATCAATAAATTCACATTAAAGTATTTTATACAAAAGAAAAATCCTACTCATGACATATGAATGCATGATAGTCTCCTTTGAAACTTTCAATTATGCTTTAAATTATTGCTATTTTAATTTAAATTCAATTAACTCTCTTCCTTCCATTGTTTCCAAAGCACTGTTTTGCTCTTTGTATTTTTCACATAACTCTTCAGTGACACAAATGGAAAATCTACTTAACACACTACGCTGTGATGTGAGAGGCAATGAATTCACTCAACTAAAAAAAAAAAATCAAAAAACAAAAAACCCAACTGCTAAAATTAAACACATTATTACACAAATGCAGCATCTTATTAGACATTCGCAGCTACAGGGGTCCATTTCTCACCTAGTTTAATACAAATGGTAATGAGAGCAGGAAGGTGGACTGCAGGGTAGATGGCCTCTGGGTGACAAATGCAACAGTGGACTGAAGGGTGACTGACGGGGGATTAGTTGCCCCCCGCCAAGGTGCGCCCCCTTCAGACCACAGCACCCACTGCCTTCCCGTCCTGCCGGGATTCGACATCGGCTTTTACAGGGAGGGGGACAGAAGAGACAAACATAATTCCGTGGCTCATGAGGTGCCCCACCTTTGCATTCTCCTCTTCTTAATCTATAAAGTAATTAACAAGGGTTCCCAGAAAGGCACAGAGCTGGGGATATTAGATTCGGGGGATGAAAAGCAGCCAACAGATATTCTTGTCAGTGGGAAAAAAGTTGGAAACCAGAAGGTGTGAGTTCTTCAAGGCAAAGGGCTCCTCACTGCCTCGAGAAGGAGAGAGGAGAACTGTTCATGTGAAGGGAGCCAGAACACAGCCTCCCGGGCAGCCTGTGGCCAACAGCGCCCTGCGGTTTCTCTTCCCTCAAAGACACGTGGGAAGTGTGTGACCGAGTAGAAGGGGACTGTGAGGCCGATCCCCGAGCTGCTCAGGCAGGCAGGCATCATGCTACCCATCTGCCTGCAAAATAGGGACCAGTCATGACGATCGGAGACGGACTGTTGGGGGTGCTGTAGGAACAGCTGGGACCGCACCAGGCCAATTAGGTCATTCATGTTCCTGCGTGTGACTCCAGCATGCGGCAGAACGTCTGCTTTCCCTTAGGGGTGAAAAGGTGTTTTCTAGGCACCGAGGTGAATCCACCCAAAGGGTTTTTAAATATTCTACCCCTAAATATCCACTGACTGCCAACTTGGAGGGGAAGGAAGACAAACACCCAGGCGAGCCTGTCTAGGAGCAAGAAAAGACAGACGCGAGCGAAGATTGGCTGAGAAGGAGGCCGGGAGGTCATGGTTATTCGGCTCCGATGGAGGGATCAGGACACAAATTGGAGTTCAAATTGTGCCACTCACTATGGGTCACATTGTTTAACCTCAGCCTCAGCTTCCTCAACTGCAAAATTAGGTGAACCCACCCCTTTGGTGTAGGGCTGGTGTCTGTGAAGTGTCCCACCAGCCGTGCCCTTACGTGAGACCCTCCCCGGTTATTTACAGAAATGGCCTTCCGGGAGGTTTCAGAACGCTCCTGGTTTCCACCTGTTTTCCACACTGTTGTCGGGGCAACTTTCTGAAGCTCAGATCTGGTCACACCTGTTGGAACTCCGAACGCCCGTCCATCTACAAACCAGTGCTTCAGGGCTGACACAGATGGAAAAGCCAGTGAACACATCATGAGCTATACTATTCAAGGCAGAGCTAAATCAGCTTAAATGTAGCACCTCATCACACCCGGCCTCCACCGCTGGCGGCCGTGGGCAGCAAGGGCACCCGCCGCTGAACATCAGTCTTAGCAATGCCGCTATGTGTAATGGAGCTGTCACTTGGAAGGTGTGCTCTACATAAAAGGTCTCACTGTTCAAGAAGAGGGAAAACCTAGAAGTCATTTAAACACAGCATGACAAGCCATGCCTTGCACATGTGGCCCGTATTGCAAACCCCGCCTCTGTCCTCCTGTAATTTATCCCTTGGTCAGGCGCCACGCACTGCACGCTCGTGGCCTGGGACGTGCTCCCACCCCACCCTCACCTTAATTCTATTTAACTTCTTTTTGGGGGCTTAATCCTCACCTGATGTTTAGATGCAGTGGAAGGGAGGGAGGGAGAGAGACACAGAGAGAGAGAGAGAGAGTCCTGCATGACCCTGACTGGAGCCAGGGACCGAACCTGCAACCCAGGTATGTGCCCTTGACCGGGAATCGAACCCGAGACACTTCAGTCCATTGGCCAATGCTCTAACTGCTAAGCCTAACTGGTCAGGGCTCTATTTACCTTTTAATAATTGTCGCAGGTAACATGTTGCCTATGTTCTCGGGAGATTCCACAATAGTGAACATTACTAACACCTGTTTGTTTAGTGTCTTCCCTTCCCACTAAACCCTGCTGCAGGCTCTGTGAGGGGCAGGGACCATGTCTATTTTTCTTTATTTTTTTTTTATCCTCACCCAAGGACATTTTTGCATTTATCTTCAGATACAGTGGGAGGGAGAGGGGGGAAGAGAGAGAGAGAAACATTGATGTGAGAGAGACACATCGACTGGTTGCAGGGACAAACTGCAACCGAGGTCCGTGTCCTTAGCAGGAACTGAACCGGGGACTCTCTGGTCCTCAGGCTCTAACCACTGAGCAAACCATCCAGGGTAGAGACCATGTCTAATTTATGTCTGCAGCAAGAGCCTAGCACCATGTCTGATACAATGTGGACACTCAGAAACTGCTCACTGTTTTTACTCAATGAAAGAAATTTGGGCTGGAATCACTGATACAGTACTTAGGTGCGGCTGTAAGTGGAGGACAAATCCTACTTATAGGGTATAAGTGAAGAGATCTGGTTTTAATTTTCAGGGAAGCATCTGGTGGTGTATTGCAGGGTTGCAGGTGCCCACCAAGTCTGACTTGGTTGCCACTTTTATTAATGGCTTAATAACAAAAAGGGCATCCTGATCAAATGGGCGGAAGAAGGGAGGGAGAGGGGAGGAGGGAGGGCCGAGAGTGAGCATTTACTGAATGTGCCGCCCACTGTTCTAGAAGCGCTCACATCCAGCGTCTCATTGCCTCTTTGTGAGAACTCTGCAGGAGGGGTGCCCTTATCCTCATTTTATTAAACGGGAAACGGAGGCTCCAGGAGGGGATCGAATAGACCCACGAGGACACTGGTCGTAAACAAAGGAGGGAATCGGAACCCGCTCTGTTTCAATGCGCTACACCTCAAAACCGAATTACAATACTTGTAAGGCTGTATACTTTGAACACCAGTCCCACTCACTGTACACATGTAAAGTGGAGAGAACGTCATGCTTGATGAACAACATGCAGAAATGGGCATCGTTACTCGGTGAATATTTTAAATCTTGCTAGCCAGGGTAAGGGGCAGTGTTCGGCCTGCCATGGCCAGGCCATCCCCGGGGCACAGAGTTTAAGGGATTCATCTCAGATGCTGGGTTATGACGGTCAGGGTAGTGGAAGGGGTCACCTGCTGATCTACTGTTGTGTGGCTTTTGCACCAGAGCGGCAGAGCTGAGCAGTGCCGCGGAGCCTCAGGTATCTGCTTACTCTCCAGTTCTTCCTGGAAAGCGTCCTCCGACCGCTGGTCCAGACCAGACCCTCGACCA